ATTTCGGAGCGCCGCGCCGGCGGCGAGCAGGAATCGATATATCGAAAATTCCACGCGCGGAACAGATTTGGAGCGCCGCGCCGGAAAAAATAGTTTTGACACAAACGGCGCAAATATATCGAAAACCGGCGCGGAATCCGGAAATTCAGAGATTTTCATCGAAAACGGGTTTTTTCTTTATGCGCGCCAGAAAAAATTCCGCGCGCGCAAGAAAAGGGTTTTGACACTAACGGCGTTCCATAGCACCCGTTGTGACGTACTATTGAGTGGTTCGTTGATTGAGTGCAGCCGAGTTAGGGCCGGGCGGGGAAGTGGCTTTCAAAAAGATGCGCAATGACCATAGAATAATAAAGCTAACGCCTTATTATTCTATGGCAATGACTGACCTGCTGTGTGGATTGGTCACATAGAGTACATAGAGTCGTAATGTAATTGGGAGAGCTGGCGCCACTTTTAAGCATTTTCCATGTCCCGAACTCCGAGACTCCTGTGTGACGCCGGGTCACTTTTTCGATACATAATCGATTGTTTGCGATACACAGGTACCCGGTCATCCGATGACAACAACAACAACAACAACAACGGAGATAGGAATTACCATGTATTCTAATGTATTCCACACCGCCATTTTGGATCGAAAATGTATCGAAAAAGCGACCCGAACTCGGCGCACACCGGGCTCGGAATTCGTCGAGCAGAACATGGCGCCAGCTCTCCCATTTACATTACGACTCTATGTACTCTATGATTGGTCATTGGTCTTGGAAAGAGGCATGAAAAGTTGCAGAATCCCCAGCAACCATCCGCGTCGGTCACCGGTCAACGATGCATCTTCTTTTCAACAACAATAACGGCACTCTTAAATACTACTTATTTCCCTCAATTCCTCGTATGCACCGGTGGCCCAACAGGTAGAGCATCCGTCTGCCCTTGGGTAGATATTGAGTTCGGATCCCGTCTCGGGAATTTTTTTTTTTTTTTTTCCAATCTGTAAAATTCCCCAATCATGATTCTTCGTCCAAATAAGTCACAAAACTCATTTTTACAACAATTAATTTAATATTGAAAATAGTTAGCTCAATCAGCGACTTTTACTGACTTAGCGGTTAGGTCAAAACTCATTTTTACAACAATTAATTTAATATTGAAAATAGTTAGCTAAATCAGCGACTTTTACTGACTTAGCGGTTAGGTTCGGTTAGGTTAGGTTAGGTTAGGTTAGGTTAGGTCATCAGCTCTTTAATAAATTAGTGGCATTCTGTTCAACTAATGTTTTTCAACAAAAAAAAAAAAAATTAATGTTTCACTCAACTTAAATTTTTTTAATTTCCGACTTTAAAAATTACAATCCTACTGTTTTTTCGAAATTCCCGCGCCAATCTACGAGATAGCATCCGAATAGTCAATGGTCATCGGTCCATTACCGGTGCGCTCGTGGCAACTTTTTAACGCCTCTTTCCTTCTCAAAGTGCTTAATCAGCAACGAGTCAAGTCAGTCTAGAGTACCTGTATAGGGAGAGTAGAGTCCCTTTATACCCAGAGTTACGACAACTCACTTTTGGTTGGGCCAGGATTGGGCTGAAAGTGGCCTAAAAAAAAGTCCAATTCTGATTGGTTCTCGCTCATGGAGGCCGAAACGAGTGCACCAAGATGGCGGTACCTCGAATGTGAACAAGAATAATGAAAATATTACCTAATTGTGGTTTATCAAGAGTAAATTGTTATTTCCATAGGTCCAAAATGAAAATAGATTAAGAAATTATTCACAAACCAATCTCATTTTCTTTTTAATTGATCACTTTGTTGATGTTGTTGTTTTTGTGTGACAGACATCGCAGGATTCCTGATCCTTATCCCTCAATATCGTTCGTTTGGGTGCACTCGTTTCGGCTTCCATGGCCAGCCAAGGACGGCTGCCAGTCAGCTGATAATCGAGTTTCTAAACTAATTCTTGAATTCTTCGGAACGTTTCATCCCACAAAAATCTGAAAAAGAAGTATTCTCCCGCCGAAAATCTGCTGAAAATAGCCAAAATTTCAGTTTTGGTTCCTAGTTTTAAATGCCCATGGATTTTCCCGCCAATGGCGCTCACAAAACTACTCACGCTCCTCATAGAGTACTCTATGACGCTCCTCCGCCGATGTTAGCGATCTGGACTAATCTGTGAGCGATCTGGACTAATCTGTGGTTCAGAAGTTCAGAAAAGTATAGGGCATAGGGCAACGAGACCTAACCAAATCTGGACACAGCAGCACACAGCAGGCGAGAGTCACAACCAGAGACAAGTCACAACGGCCGCTTACGCGAGTGTCCCTTCTATTGGCGTTAGCTTTATTATTCTATGCGAGTGTCCCTTCCATAATTCTGCCATCCTTGCTTGTTTTTTACTCATTTCGCCTTGGTAATTTGAAAATTTGATAATTCGAATATTGTGCAAGTGTGGTATTACTATATTTGATTGAAAATTGAAATCAAATGTGAATTCTCAATTCCCGTCTAACTCAAACTTGAGCATAGCGTGCCGCGCAGCGCTTAGCCTACTCGAGATAAACGTAAGTTCCCAAGTCCACTTTAGCCACCTTAACTAAGTCATAGAGCCCGTTTCAGTAAACTTGTCCTTCTGAGCGGAGTTGGAATAAGCCCATAACGCCCATATTACGAAGAAGGACAAGTTATTTTAAGCGGGCCCTTGTCATGTCAGAATTTCACCTATCTTAAGCTGATTTATCAAGCTCAAGTGACATGGTCGAACTGACATGCATTATATCGCATTGATTCGGTCAAAAATCTTGCCAGATTTCGAATTTTTAAGAAAAGAAAGGACCATAGCTCCTGTGCATGAGCCTTAAGAATCATTCTAAATCCAGCAATTGGCAAAATTCAGAGAAATGAAAGCAGAATAATGTTCGGAAAATAACCTCGCATTTAATTTAGCTATCAAATGTGAGGTGTTTTCCTAATACGTATCTGCTTTCGTTTCTCTGAATTTTGGGTTCAGGATGATTCTCTAGGCTTAAGTGCAGGGGCTATAGTGCGTATTTTTGCTAAATATTCAAAATGTGCTGAGATTTTTTACCCAATCGATGCGGGCGTTTAAGTTAAGCAGAGATTCCTGCTTGGCTGCAAGGCTAGGGTTGACAAAAAATCCTGCCGCAGATCATCAGTAAGCAACAGCATTTCACCGATGCGTCTCTACTCTCAGCTCTAGTGGAGAAAGAAAAAACTTTATATGCCTTACCTATGTACCGGCATATTCCACCAGTTTCTGCCGTTGCCCGCAATGCTGCGGCAAAGCGTTCGTCATGTGAACGTTAGATCTATGGTTCGCGTCCACCTAGGGGCACCTTTCTAATGTCCTTAACATATTTATGAATGCAGCGTAGGGTATTTGGAGGAAGAGTGAGGGTTGCATTTTGATGCATGTAGGTAATTGAAAAGGGCTTCTCTTGCTTCAGGGAAACTTCTGGATCTAAGGTCTAGGACTACTTATTGACTGCCAATGAACTTGTTATTTCTGAGAAAAAAAAGCAGACTCCAGACTGAAATTAATGTAACATAGTGCACAGTTAACATCCTTTAGTGTAAATTAGGAAAGACACTTTTTCCCATTTTAAGACCCCCTTACACCTTGTGCAGCACCGTAAGGCATCCCTTACCCTCCTCCCTCCCCCCCTCTAAAAATTACGCAAGGCTCAATTGACCCCTTTTTTTTTCAGTTATTGCAGATCGAAGCATTACGTTTTCCGATAGAAAACAATGATATTTTTAAGCAAAAATTTTTATTAGTGAAACTAAATTTCTGGAGTAACTTCACAGGAAAGATGAATGATATAATTAGTTTAATAATCAAAAATACGGAGCAAAATTGAAGATTTTTTTGACCTTTAGAATAAATAGTTAAAAGTATAAAGTTGACATACTTAAGGATGAAGTCACTACTCATCATCCCACGGAGTAGAGAAGTGTTGATCGGTCGGCAATCGGTGGTTTCCTGATTTCCTCTGTTTCATCTTGAATTTTATTATCAACCTGACGATAAATGGATTTTTGCATTTTCTTGAAATATAGGCCACAAAGCTGACGTAAGGCTCAGCCAAGCCCTCTCCTCCCCCCTCGTAAGGCACCATAAGGCTGTTAAAGACCCCCCCCTCCCCTCAAGAGCCTTACATAATTTATGGACGGCCCCTTAAGTATTTGTATTTTTTGTATTCCTTATGGTCTTAATTACTTAAAAAAAATTCCTAATCATATATATAATAGAATAGAAATCGTTCAGATTTTCCTTTTTTAAAGAAAAGGGCGTTTAAGTTGGTTTGAGTTTAAAAGATTCCTGTTTGGCCCGAAAGACGAGGGTTGACAGAAAATCCTTCGGCGCGTGGAAAGTGCAGTGAGTCTGCAGAAAGGAAACATCGATGCTCCCGATTGCGCACCAGACAGTTTGCGATGGAAATTCGGCAGGATTTTTTGTCAACCCCACCTTCGGAGCTCAGGAAGGAATCTCTACTGAACGTTCGACTCATCGATGCGATACATCACATGCCAGTTTGACCACGCCTCTTGAGCTTGGCGAATCACCTTAAGCATCCCTATCTGTGCTGTGCAATGTATTAATTTTCGATTCTTGTCATGCTGACATAAATTTCTACAATGAGGTTGCAGATGTATTTTGACTTTTGTCGAAAGGCTCCATTTTTTACTTCAGATATCATGGTGGCAATTTTAACTGAGATGTCCAACAATACGCAAATTTATGTTCGTCAACTTTTAACGAGATTCGTAAACAGTTGTCCTGCCTGTCAACGAAGTTGGTGTTTTCATCAACCAATCAGAGCCCAGTAGCCTTTTCACTGGACTGTTGATGGGTTTCACTCTCCAACCAAAAATGTCAACAGGTTTGATACCTAATGTGGTCTGGAACACGCTCACAAAACCCCCATTTCATTTTTGATGATGTCTTGGAGTGACGCAATTTGTGCGGAACGGGCAACTAGGGAAATGGAGTACAGTGGAGTCAGTGATACGAAGGGAAAGTTAGAAAAAAGAGAGGAGTTGCGTCGCCCTTAAATGTTGCCAGGAAAGGATCCTTCAGTTAAAGGTGGAGAAACGATGCTAATTAATGATATGACTTGGATCAACGATCATGGATTATCGATATGATTATGAGAAATGATCCAATTATTCATTCAAGTTCAGATTCCAATCACTCTGTCTGAAAACTAATATTGACGTCAGTCTAAGGTGCTTCAAAACTTACTTATGGGAGCTATCCAAATGGAAGGAATGATAACTCTCGCCGTGAAAATCGATACTGAATTGCATTGCTTCCAATTTGAGAAAATTACTCAGATGATTCTGCAGGCAACGCTGCGTCTGCTGTTTTTTATGTTCTTTGTAAGCCGCTTTCATAGCGCTCTAATTGGAAATCAAATTTCCATAAATTTGAATTTGCTCTTTGGTGCCAAAGAAAATCATTTAAAATGTATGATATATTTATACTTTTAATAATCTTTTTGAATAGAGGTGAAAGATTTGTGGAATTCGTTGTGAGGGAAAGTAAAGACATTTAAAGAAATATTTAAAGATGTAACATAAAGCTGAGAGACCGTAGAAGACTATTAAAGACTGCTGAAATGAGGAAATAAAAGAAAAGTGTTGACTCACGAGTCCGAGTTCAGTGGTTTAATTAATAAGAATACAGATCCTTGTGATACTTGTTGATCGAATTTTCAGATTAAGGGAGTTGCCTGTGACTAAGAGTGTCGGCCACCAGTTTGTTATCGGGACTTTAGTAGGACGTCATTTTCCTCGACCGGGGGTGGCTACCGCCACTCTTGATGTACCAAGCGAAGAGAATATTTTACACCCATTGTAGAAGCACAGTGGATTTAATTATCCGATTTTATCAGACATACCATTATGATCTCAAGTTAAAATCAGTGTACAAGATATATAGTTCGTTTTTCTGCTTCTGTTGTCATCTTGTTCCAGGTAACCTATTTTCAACTAATAACAAAAAATAATGAAACGGAACCGAGCCTATCCATCCTTTGCTGTCTCGTCCGTCCCATGTTCTCCTGTCCATCTTGTGTTGTCCTGTATATCCTACATCCTTTGTATGAAATCCTGTATGAAACCGTGACTGAGTATCGCCTACTTTGTGGTATTCTAACCGCCACCACTCTCCGTTGATATGCAAATTAACAAGAAGATGAAAGACAACGAAGGAGAAAATAAGCAAAAGAAGAAAATAATAAACAAAAGCAGAAGAAAAAGGCACTAAAGTATAACTTCCTGTATCTCAGAACCGTTTTGAAAAACGAGCAGAGAGTACTTAAACCTTCACAAACGGAAGGAAGTGTGGATCCACACTGCAAAAAAATTTTTTGGCCAGGAATGATATTTAAGAAGATTAAAAATCATCGCCTGTGAGCGGCTCTTCTTGTACTCCAGAACATAAACATTTGAAGTCTAATGTGAAAATCAATCATCAACTTCAAACAATCTCTTGGTGAACTTGAGGCAGAGCAACGAAGGCCCGAAGAAGAAATACCTAGTGAAGCATGAAATCTCAGAGGAACAACTAATTTTCCGTGAATTTCTCGAATTAGGCTCTGCCTATCATTGGAGTTATAAAGTATAAATGAACAGCTTTATGCAATGAGGAACTAGGGTCAAATTTTCGATTTTTTTTTATGATGAATTCCGTATCAGGAGGGTATTTACTTACTATTGAGAAAAAGAAAATCCTCAAAAACGATTTTTATCCCGCTTCAGCGACCCCGCAAAAATTTGCTGTCGCAGGATCACGCGAGGTTCATTTTGCAATAGACCGTATTCGATAACGGTTCGATGTATCGTTTGGTTCGAAACAATAGAACGTAACCTCAAATCAAACTGTAAGGATTTTAGTTGGAAAAGCTGAAAATGAGAAATTTCTTGACAATTTCACTTCGCATTGGCATCTGGTACTCAAAAGAATAAAAAATCTGTTACAAAAGACCCGTTCTCTCAGATTTCTGAATTTACTTTTGAGGCTATGTTTATGTTTTGAACCAATCGATATCGATACAATCTCACCCATTTGATGTATGAAATACGATCTATTGGGACCTATACCATGGTTCCCTATTGCGTAATGCGAAACTCGGATTTCCCATTTTGCAATTCGGAACTATAGGAAGGACGGCAAAATGCTATCTCGGCATTCTCGGCTCTTGTTCGATCGATCTTGATGATTTTTGGTATTTGGTGGTATTTTTGGACGGGAAACTCAAATTTCTGGTCAAATTTTGAAAATTCAAAAATCCAAGATGGCGGATGTGCCCTAAAACGCTATCTCGGCTCCTGTTCGATCGATCATGCTGATTTTCGGTAACAGGGGGTATTTTTGGACGGGTAACTCGAATTCCTTGCCGAGTTTCGAAAATTGAATTTTTTTCTAATTTCGACAATGAGCTTGTTCAGTAATTTTTGATTTTTGTATTTTTTGAAGTATTTACTGCGCATAAGCCACAATAATTTTCTCCGATATTTTTCGCATTTCAATCCATGAAAAACAAGTTTGAGGTTGCTTCTTCTGAGCTCCCCTTTGAACGCGTGTCTTCGAGGAATGAAAGATCCCCCAGGGGATACTTACTCAAGTAAGGTCATTTTCGGCCACACCCACCATCTTGGATTTTTGAATTTTCAAAATTTGACCAGAAATTCGAGTTTCCCCGTCCAAAAATACCCTCGGTTATCAAAAATCAGCAAGATCGATCAAACAGGAGCCGAGATAGCATTTTAGGCCACATCCGCCATCTTGGATTTTCGAATTTTCAAAATTTGACCAGAAATTCGAGTTTCCCGTCCAAAAATACCTTCCTACTGACACCGAAAATCAGCATGATCGATCGAACAAGAGCCGAGATAGCATTTTAGGCTACATCCTCAATCTTGGATTTTCGAATTTTCAAAAGTTCACGATTCACGGGTTTGTTGACCTATTCAAGGGTTTATCGATCAATTCACGGATTTTTCGAACGAATCACGGGTTTGTCGATCGATTCGCAGGTGTTAGATCGATTCACGGTCGTCAAGCGAATCAGTGCCGATCAAATCACGTCAATCGGTTCTTGTTCCAACTTTTCGATCGATTCATGACACCGGTTTTTCAGTAATTTGTCGATCGATTCACGCTTTCATTTTTCGATCGATTCATGTCAATCGAATCTATAAGCCCTCCCGTCCAAATTGCATGTTAATATTTGCCACTATTCTCGAAATATTAGCAAGTCGGTAGGTATCCATATTTTTGGCACACCCTGTTTTTGGTAGTATATCTTTCAGCAGGGACAATGCACCCCCCCCCCATCCTCGTATGATGGGAGGAAGGGGTGTTTTCTCTATTGGGGTTAACCCTCCCGTGTGTAATAGTGACACCAGGGTCGTCTCCCCTATGCAGTCAGTGCTAAAACAAGCTATAGTTCCTAATTGCAAAATGAGCTTCCCCGGATTCTTCATTTTACAATAAGGACCTATAGCCTTTTTTTGTAATTTTTGGCAATAGTGTGCTGTTTTCGAAGAATCTGTCAACACAGGGTGTTAAAGGAACTCCATAGCTATAAAATGAACCATCAAACCGCAACATTGATCGTTTTGAGGGAAAACGCCAATGGTTTTTGCAAAAGTTGCTCTCCTGAAAACCTACTGTACTGCCTATAGTTCCGAACTGCAAAATGCTATCCAATTAGTGGGCATTGAGTTCTGTAATGGGCGAAATGAAAGACATTTAAGCAGACAATTCGTATCCTATTCAATTCCAAAACCTCATCAAACATTTCAGTTTGATTTAAACGGTTTTCTCCATGTCTCAACATTCCTCTAGCCAGATTCATTATAATTTCCTTGGCTTTTCATAGCATTTTTGTCTCTTCACATAAATAAATACAACTGGGAAAAGTTAAGTAGAAAAGTAGGATGAAGCTCTGAAGAAATTGAAGTTGCTCTTTAAGGAACAGTGGGGGAAAAGTAGGACGGAGAGAAAAAACAAATTTATCTCAGGACTAGATAAATTTTTCATACAGCTTGCGACATTGCCTACTTATTTCTTTTTTACTTCATTGTACTACAGGAAAACCTTTGGTTATGATCTGATACTACGCAAACTTTTATAATAGAGAAGTCTCCCCATACGTCAATGATTGTTACTTTCTTCATGATGAAGTAATACAAGGAAGAAACTTTTGTAGGACAGTCACGAGACAATATTGTAAAGAAGAGATAAAATTTCGTATACTCACTTGCGCTATTTAACGATTTTATGAGACTCGTTTCGGGGTGGAGATGGCCCCATCATCAGCTAGCAGTGAACTTACGCTGTTTTGTTTTCCTTTCCCGATCCATGTGCTGGTGCTCGATTGCCAAGTTTCAATGAATTTCAATTCAATTCAATTCAATTTAACTGACTCATCCACGCGAGTTGAACTCACGGATGAGGGAAGTTGATTGTAATTATTTTTGTACATTTTAAACTGAAGAAAGTGAATAAATTGAATTGAAAAACCAACTTCAACACGGACTTGGTGGGTACAAATAATATCCTATTTCCAGGAGTGCGGAAAGTGCCCGATCACGCGCTCACCCCGGTGCGTGAATATGTGGAAAAACCCCAAAAATGTCGAAGGAGGGAACATTTTAAGAGGCCAAAAGTCGTAAATCATAGGTAAACGGAAGTTAAACGTCATATTTTTAAGATTGGTGGGAAATTTTGTCGAAAACTGGTGAGAAAAATGTGGAAAGGCGTTTGGTGGGCGAGTGAAAATGTGGAAGCTTGGAAGATTCTGCACCCCTGAATCAGTTGAAACATGGCAATCGAGCACCAGCGCATGGATTGGGAATGGAAAACAACCAGGTTTGTTCACTGCCCGCTGATGAAGGGGCCATCTCGACCCCGAAACGCATCCCCTAAAATTGATAAATAGCGCAGTAAGTACGCGAAATTATAATCTATTTTTTACAATACAAGAACTACAATTGTACAAAGTAGCCATTGGGAGGCATGTTTTTTTTAGCTTCACCATAAAGGCATGAACATCTGTTGCATTGTCAATAGCTCGTACTTATGAAGCTGAAAGTGTTTTGAAGCTTTTCAAAAAAGCAACGAGAGTTACTAGAATAGAATAGAATAGAAATCACTTTATTCGTTAAAAATGCGCCAAAAGGCAAACAAACGGGTCAACTTAGATTAAACTTAATACTAACATTCAAAATTAGAAAAATGCATAATAGTTAAATTAGACAATTCTTCAAGTGAATTAGATTGAATAAACGTCTACACCAGTCTACACCAGTCTACACTACTATCAATCAAAATCATGAGAAGCATCTAAAATGAAAAACTATCACCACTACTCATGTCTTTGAGTATCATAGTTTGTATTTGATTTTGTTACAGCATGTCTGGTAGTAAATCCTCTGTTTCTGGAGAATGGCGGAAGCGAGTGAAGTCAGAGTACATGCGCTTACGCCAAGTCAAAAGGTTCAAAAGAGCAGATGAAGTGAAAGTAGCATGGAACAACAATCTCAAAAGCATGGCAGGTACGACACTTCGTCCAATCAGTATTACCTTTTCTCATATTCCCCTTTTCTTCACAGACTTTTGTTCAAATCAAGTTTTAAAATTTCCTTCTTTCTCGGGAAGTAACCTTCATTATCTCTCGCTGATTTGATCTTTTATGATGAGTATATAACTGCACAGTTGTACTATTAACCTTTCTATTTTGTCATTTTCTAATGAATCGAGTTGGTCCTTCGAATACTTTCCCATTTTATTGATGAGGGCCAACTTTGACTTGGCACTGCACAGAGGGTGTCCAAAAGGCCCAATTCAAAGCAAGTTTTAAGTCTTCTAATGTAATTAACTCCAGGCATTTTCCAAAGTGGCATTAGTGTAAAATAAACATCAATGAACATTTGCTTAGTTACATGCTATTCTTGTTCACAGACAAATAGCCCAATGACACATTGGTGACAAACTTTCGACATGAGTTTTGACTTCTGAAATCAATAACCTCTTTTACACCCTTCAAAACAAAAACTTTACTGTTGCATTCTAGCATATGCCTCTACCATTGGCCAGTGTCCCTCAGGCACTCAAAGCGTTAAAAAAAAAACACCCCTGAGTGACAGACTCTCGGTTGGCATGATTATTTTAATGATCTTGCTCCAAGGTCTTGTGACTTGCTGAAATCTTGAAGACGACCTTGCAGAAGGCCTTGCTGCCATTTTGCAACTTATGTAATCACCCTTGTACAGGAAATGTAAGTCATTAAAAAACTCAGCAAAAAATGATATAAATTGCAATTCTGAGCCATTTTTTTAGGAATCAAGTCTAACATTACGACCGGAAATTGGTTGTGTGAGTTAACATCCAAGTACCGAGAGAATAGGTATATAACAAACAAGTAGGTAAATCCAACACGTGGTGTCGGAAGAGCGCACCTGAAGAATATATCTCTATTATCATATTTAGTTTTAAGCTTGTTTCCAGCAATCTAACGAATCATAATCGCCCTAAAATTTTGAGGTAGTCCTTATTAACACCTCACTGCTCTAATACAGCACCCTAGGCTCTTTTATACTCCAAATTGCCCCCCTTTCTCGTGCGTGGAATAGGTTTTATGGAATGTTTACTTTTACTTTTACAAACCGAATGGTGTAAGAACCTTGCAATTTTAGTTAAAAAATAATAATTTTATTGCATTTAATTGCAAAAGTATTTTCACAAAGAATTTTGGATCTCTCAACAGTTATTGCTAAGGTTAAGCAGGCCAGCAGGTATGAGTATGAATGAAAGTCAAAGGTGACTTTCAACTACTAATCACTTAGAAAAAATCAATTTTTGTCGCTGGAAACATTCATTTTGGCCACCCTACAAACAGACCAAAATTCAAAATATTCCGCTTCGTTTGATTTCCCGCTTTTGAAATTGCCGTCATTTTTCATTGGCGGGAATTTCAAATTGTGCCCCCCTTTCTAAGCTCTTTGGTCTACTCTCATTTCAAAAAACCCGGGTCCTATTTCTAAAATCTGATCAAAGCGGGCTCATTTGCAGACTATCACCTGTCGATAACGGCAAAAATCATGGAAATTGGCCCAGTAGAATGCTCAAACGAACTATGACAAAAAATAAGAAATTACATTTTTTAAATGGGAGAATTTGCAACTTTACCACGTAATATAAAAAAATCTGAATGGTAACGTTGCATGGTGGCAACGATCATGGTGTCAACAAACCAAAAATCTGATCATGGAGTCAACGATTGTTGACGTCGTGATCAGGCAGTAAAACGCAAAAATGGGCCCTGAGCATGGTGTCAACGATCACGGTGTCAACAAACAGAAAAATTTCTTCCTTGTGAGTAAAATTAAAAAATTAAGTGTACAGGAGAGGTCTGGGTCACGTATAGTTGGATTAGGTTAGTTTAGGTCAGGACATGTACGGTTAGAATAAGTAGGTAAGGTTAAAGTTATGTAGGATAAGGGCGGGGAAAGTTAAGCTCTGTGAAAGTGGGATAGGTCTTGTAAGGTGAAGTTGGGTAAGGTTAGGTAAAGTTGGGTAAGGTTAGGTAAAGTTGGGTAAGGTTAGATAAAGTTGGGTAAGGTTAAGTAAAGTTGGGTAAGGTTAGGTAAAGGTGGGTAAGGTTAGGTTAGGTTCGAGTAAATAACACAAGAAAAACAAGACTTGAAATTTAAAAGGTGTTATTGAGGCAAGTTTTAAGTTTCGTTGACGTCGTGATCATTTTTCATAAGGGTCAGAATTTTTTATTTTTGGATGATCATGGTGTCAACAAAAACTTAGAAAAACTGTTTGTTGACACCATGATCGTTGACACCATGCTACGTAATCATCTATCTTTAAAATTTGAATAAAGCGGGCTCATTTAGAGACGATGTTCTGTTGATAGCCGAAAAAATCATGAAAATTGGCCCGGTAGAACGCTGGAAGTACGCGTTACCAGATATGCAAATTTAGTAGGTCTCGGAGCTTTTACAGTACTTTCTCTCTGTAACGAGTATCGTTATAGCGAGAATCTCCCTGTAACGAAGAAATCGGTCGGTCCCTCGAACTTCCAATATTAAATATCAACTATCGTTATAACGAGAATCTCTCTGTAGCGAGAATATCGGTCGGTCCCTTGAGTTCTCGTTATAGAGAGAAAGTACTGTAGTATAGATTTGCAATAACCTGGCCAAAATACCGTATTCTTCAACTAAGCACGATAGTGCGGAAGCGTTGCATAGTGGCATCTTAATTTTAAAGCCTACCATTGGGTTTTTAAGAATCAAAGAAAAAAACAAGGTTTTGCCTTTCAATATTGTAAAAAATAATCTTTTTGGTTCATGCGTTTTCTGCTGATTTGATTTTACTTTTCAAACATGGTAAAACTCAGGTAGAGCCCTCCTTTTTGGATTTGAAACTCACCAGTAGTAATACTGAGGCTTTCTAATTTATTTTTGATCAAAATCATTTTTATGCCCTTCACATGCCCCCAAGAAATGCTAGAAACACAATTATGATTGGTATCCCAACATTTTATCGATTTTTCAATGGATCCTGCTAAAATACAGAAAATCAGCTACACTATCCTATTCCCTTTCTTCTTTTTTTGTGCCCTTAGAATTGCTGGAGAAAGAAGAAAGACGCTGGCATGAAACAAAAATAATCTGGTCATACCGGGCCGATTCCAATGTGCCATCGGTGGCCCCTAAGAAAAAGGCAGAGGTCACATTTTTGGATGGCGGAGTATTGGGTTGTCCAATCAAACTGATTAATGCTGTGCCAGCTATTCCCACAATGTACACATGGGCTCCAATCCAACAAAACTTTATGGTAAAGATTTGTATCCTGCTCTGCTACAATTTAAGTGACAGTCAGGGTTGTTAAGACCTGTCGACAGCACCATCGCCGGGTCGCGCCCGAGATTCGGTCTTAAGAATAAGGTCAACCTGCATCAGTAAGAATATGGAGTGTCTTATTTGTTTTTCATGTTCGTTGTTTTTGTCTAAATGTTTGTTTGTGAGATGCAAGAACCTCCTTTTAACTTTCACTCCCTTTTAATATTTGGTTGATCAAACAAGAAGTCCCAGTTCTGCTCATTGAAAATGTTATTTTTAGTTTCTCTCTCTCCAGCCAAATTTGTAATTGAGATTCACATCATTCCGAAAACCACTTGATATAAACTGCAAAACACCTTAAAAAACTTTCAGATGCAAAGGGGTACAGAATCTGATCAAAGTCTTAAACTTAGTGAACCAAATTGTCTTGTTACTTCTAAAAAAAAATGAAAAATTATATGTCACTGCAAATCGAATGTAGGCCCCTTCATTTTTGAGTGATGCAACAGTCATGACTTGTAAATATGTTTAGCCCTTGCAGGAGCCGTCCCTTTTCTTTATCTATTTGCATTTTTTATATAAACTAAAAAAGTAGTAGGTATGGATTGATCTGAGCCTTTTATGTGCTCCAAAACAATATGAAATATGTTGTCGCACAAAGTTCAATATTATTCGGCTCAGGTCGTACGTATGCTTTTAAAACAGTATGAATAAAATTCTCAGTCGGCTGGCCAAAGTCCAGTATTTTTCGTGAGGATAGTCTCCTGCTTAAATGAGAGATGCAACAATGCAACATTTATGTATGAAAAGCCCTTGCAGCAGCCTTTTTATTTGACTCAGCTAAATTTTGAAGAATCACTGACGTGTCTGCCACAATGCTCTTACTGTAATCATTAGTATTTGTCTCCAATGCATGCTGAAAGATTGCTTGTAGATTTTTCAAGTGTATCATTCCTCCTTTGCCTTCATATGCCATTGCACAATGAACTGATTTTCATGAAAATGACTCCAGATTACCTACATATTGCAAACTGTTTTCGAAGAAAATTAATGAAAATAAAAAAATAAAAAAAATTCATCTACAGAAATAGTGTTTCTATTTCATGCGAGAGTAGGATAGGTAACAAGGTTTTGACATGAATCTACACGTAGCTCTATGAAGCATTAATCTGAGTGACCAATCTTTTTTTACACATTGTGGTGGACCCGTCAGTGATTTTTCAAAATTTAGCCGAGTCAAATAAAAAGGCTGCTGCAAGGGCTTTTCATACACAAATTTTGCATTGTTGCATCACTCATTTAAGCAGGAGACAATTCTCAAGAAAAATACTGAACTTTGGCCAGCCGATTGAGTATTTTATTCATACTGTTTTAAAAGCATACGTACGACCTGAGCCAAAAAGTATTGAACTTTGTGCGATAACATATTTCATACTGTTTTGGAGCAGATAGAGGGCTCAGATCAATCCATACCTGCTATTTCTTAAAGGTTGTTTTTGGAAATTTTTGCTTTTGTTTGCCAAATTGGCACTCACTTACCGCATCAACATTTCCTTCTTGTTTTTTGTGCTTCAGGTGGAAGATGAAACTGTTTTGCACAATATTCCTTATATGGGGGATGAAGTTCTTGATCACGATGGAACATTCATTGAGGAATTAATTAAAAACTATGATGGCAAAGTCCATGGGGATCGTGAAGCTGGATTCATTGATGACCAACTTTTTGTTGAATTGATCAATGCACTTGTGCAACATCAAATCAAAGAGCAGGTTTGTTTAAAATATCCGAAAACAAATGTTGTATATTCCACCTCTGCTCACAGATCTGAATTAAATTGCTCATAACTAATTGGCGGGTGCTAAAAATTTCAGAATTTTCCTGAAAAACAGTGAAGTTCTTTTAACATTATGGATGAAAAAAAAGTGTGCGAGAACTTATAAAATGCTGAATTACATGCTACATCATCTTGTTTTATTTCTTGGCATTGCTAAAGTAACTGCTGTAGCGGGTAATCCAGTATTGTATACGTTCTTGCACTTTCTTTATATCCGAAATGTTAAATCAACGTCACTTTTTTTTTGTGTATGTTAAACTCCTGAATGAGCTGATTCTTGAAGCTGATTACCATGCACAGTGCGCCTGAAGTAATTTATTATGAACTTCAAATGTACATCAAAAATTTAAGTTGGAGGTTAAGGTTATTAAAAATTCCAAAAGGCGGCCATGTTCTGATTATCAAGGATTAAGGTAATTCAAAATGTGCATCTAGTGTATTGTGAGATGTCATTTACTGTGTCATTTTGGTCATTAAGAGCTTGATGCAAAAACGGCGTTTTTCGCTCCCCCCCCCCTGAAATTTCCTCAACCTTTGTCTATTGATTATTCATACTTGAGCGCTTCCTTTCTCAAATTTTCAGACCCCCAAAAAATTTTGGGGGGCGCTAGGGGGGTGGGGGTGGGGGGTGGAAGTCAAAACCTGTGAACCTCGACATCTCTCAAACAAAGAAAGGTATCGAGGTCCGGTTTAGACGACATCTCTCGAACGAAGAAAGGTATCGAGGTCCGGTTTAGACGAAAAATTTTCTAAAATTGCATACTTTAAGGTCCTAAAGTTCAAAATCCTGAAATCACATTTTCGAGTTAACATATGTGCTTTTTTCAGTTTTTGAATCTAGAAAATTTCTGTTAAACGAAGGATACACAAAGATCTCAATTTTTTATTTGAATCAAAACTGATTTTTTAAATTGTTTGTCTTTTCCCACATCCAACAAGTGATCCATTAAGCTGAGGAACCAAACGTTCCTGGAGTTATGAGCAATTGAAGTTTCTGTCCAACGCGCTCTGATCGATTTTCGCGTGTCAAAAATGCGGTTTTGGGTGTTATTAAATCAGATTGAATGTTCAAACCGTGCAAAAGAAATTTCTAAGGATTCTTCAGGGTTGCTGAGTTCAAAAATTACCGATACTACCAAAAAATTCACTTTTTTAAAATTGCAGGTCTTGGTTTTCCCTTCATCAAGCACTATTTTATCAGAAAATTATATTTTCTAAAAATGTTTCTTTTTTTTTTTGGATAACGCGATTTTTCGGGATATTGTAAGGTCAGAGGAAAAATTTAAGGCCAATGTCGGCTTCAGCAGCTAATAGTAAGTGGGCCTAGCCCTGTTAGGCTCTTCTTAAGATGATTTTCCTGTATTTTCAGGTGCAAAAAAAAAAAGAATCAGCTTCACATGGGGGTTGATTAAGCCATTTGATTGGGACATAGTTGGATTGCATTTTGCAAAAAGAAACCGAGAGTATTCCAATGTTGCTAAGATTGTGTATCTTATATTCATTCATTAAAATTACTGAAATCATGCATTAAATTATATTTACGAAGGTAATTTTTGTCTTCAAGTTATAGTATAGTGGGAGTAAAGATAAAATTTGTTTACATAATCTGTGTATATTTGCAAGGCAAACAAAGTAGCACAATCTTAGCGACATTTGAATGCTCTTGGTTCCTTTTTGCAAAATGCTGCCCAGTTGTCACCAGGCTCAGCAGGGAAAATTTTTTAGACCTAGTATACATGATTTCAAATGTATTTTGAGCTGTTGAGTCCGAAAATGACCCTTGTTCGTCTTACGATCCATCAATCTCCCGGGAAATAGAATTTTCCTAAAAGAAGTTAGTTTTTTGATGAATATCTCGAATTCTCAATGTTCCGAAAAGTTTGTGGGAGTAAAGAAAAAACTGAAGTCATTTATGGACTCAGCGTTAAAAATTAAATGAGTCACACTTAGGAAATTCTCAGCATTTTTTAGTGCTAGACTGTGCAATCATTATTGAAATATCACAAAAAATCAAATTTTTGACGCTTGAAGTGACGATGTCGCTTCGTCTCGGAAATTCAGCAGGACTTAATGTTTTTAAAGTGAAGGGAGGATAAATGAACTATACTGGGTCAAATTTTTAGAACTTTTCAAACAATTTCAGGGGCTCCAAACTCCTTCCTAGAATTTTCAAAGTCGAGTCTAAGGCAAGAAGCCAATTCTGCCCGCCTCTCGTTAAACTTGGTTCAAAAAATGATGATTACAGTATAAATAACAGGAGCAATTTTTAATTCATGCCAGAAAGTATAAGAAGAGTTATATGTCTGCCTTACAGCTATTCAAGATCTGTGCCTTTTTTGTTTATTTTTCTAATTAATGAAAGTACAAAATTGTTTCAATTTCATTAGGAGGAGGCAAATAAAGTATGTAGCAAATCCAGTAGTAAATCAGATCAGAAAACGAGCCAAGAGAAACCATTTCCTGCCCCAGTGATTTTTCAAGCTGTCTCCTCAATGTTTCCGGACAAAGGAACTCCAGAAGAGTTGCGTCAGAAGTAAGTCTGGTGAAACCAGTGGTATATGCGTTGGAAGTAATGAGAATAAACAATAAAAAAATTTCTCCCCAGGAAGTAATGATAATCATCAAGTTTAAACTCTTAAGTTTCCATCAAGTTCTGGAGAATGAATAACGTTAAAATAGTTACATGTTGATAACACTGGTCAACATGGGTTCTGTCCTTCGAACCAAACCATTTTTTTCGATTCCTAGGTGCTAAAGAAGCCCAAAAATGGCTAGGGTGTTTCTTATTTTTTAAATTTTCGAATTCGAAGGAGGTCCTGGTCTTAAAAGTTGATGTGTGGATACATTAGAAGCCTCGTACAAGGAAAAAATTTTAAAACAATTTTTACCCGGTGCTCAAACGACTTAAGTGACACAGGTTGAAATTTGAGATTTTTAGACAAAATAACACTGTTTCCCCATGGAAAACGCCGAGTTACGGCCCTGTAAGACGAAAATTTCGTCCGTTTGGTCGTATCTGCAACACAAAAGCCGGAAAACACCCGAGAAAGGCGCGCGCAACGAGAGACACTAGGAGCAAAATGGGCGCGCCGTAGCGCAACGCGCGCGCGTCCTCTGCACTGCCTAAGCGACATGCCGCACGCACGCACTAAGCTTATGGGGGCCCGAAAGTTCCTGTCCGTTGCAATGTATCATTACGAATTGACCTGGATACTTTTTAACCTTAAAAAACAGTTGAAATGTATAAATACATCAAAAAGACAAATTTTCTTTGTAAAATATTGGCTGTATGTAGGAAAATCAATTTCAACAAATTAAACAGCTCAAAGTTAATGAACTAAATCAAATAATCCACAGTTTACTTAAAGGCTTAGGGTCTTAAAATGGTTGACAGACTATTTTTATTATTTTTGTATGATTTTATTGACTTTGGCTGTGATTTGTAAGAGATCATGAAAATAATTGTCTTCAAATGTGACCCTAGACATTAGTTATACTGTACGTTCTGGCGAACAGGTGGATACGGCAATCCTACACTGTGTCTCATGTTGTGAACAAAGACTCTCTTAGTGTTGGATGTAAGTCTCTTATCAAATAATGCCAAGGGAATCAAATTTTTACTACAGAGGTACCATACGTGGCTGGATAAATTATAGAGCACAACACTAGCTGCTGTAGGCTGCAGGTACTCTTGTTAAAGCTGCAAAATTTCTTGAGATCTGCGATGACTTCTGGGTCATTTTTCGGGGCCCCAATATGACATATGTCCTCCTCAATGTGTACCTACGCTGAAGAATGCCCGATAAGTCCAGGCTTCTCCTCAACCAACATTCTAGCCTTTTTTACAATATCATGGATTTGCCATTTTCATTTCTAGACTCTTGCCCAGCCCCATGGCTATTTACTTCCGAATATCTTGAGGTAAAAAAAGTAGTTAAGTCATAAAAGTTGTTAATGATCATGCTGAGCTCAAAATTAAAGTGATGTCCACACACAACAGGAGGATAGGTAACATCGGAAGGTAATGGAGATCTTGCATGTGGTAGGAATTAGTGATTTAAGTACTGATTATTACGCACAATTCTGCGAGAAACAAAATGGTTTTATCAGTTTCCTCCGAGACAAATTCCAAAACTGAAAAAAGCTCTGAAAGTTGATGCCGTAATGGAGGGGATATCCCACGCTATCCTGAGAGTCCACCTCTGTATCAAGTCAAACTCTCCATGCAAAGAGCGAATAATATACATTGACAGGGTAGGCACTTTGCTTGGCGTTTCCAAAACTAAAAACACGTGTTTTCAGTTTTGACCTCAATCCTGCTGATTCATTTCGACGGTGTGAGTCGGCAATCACACGACTCAGTTTGCGACGTCGCAGACTTCTTGTCATACCTACGTACTTTATTTTTTAAACGGAAAACTACTCAACGGCAATTCTTTAAAACTGCTGTGATTTTTCTTCCATATGAGAAAAAAAATCTGCATGAACTTCAAGGAATGGTGTCAGTTGGTTCTCCTTAAAAAAATAACACATAACGGAGATATTCAGACACCGTAATGGACCACTAAACAAAGTACGAATTTCAGCATTCTGATACATGTTTCTTAACCAAAATTTCACGTAAAACACAATGCGCACAACGAAAATGACCAAAATCAATTCCTTTCGAAGAAAATTAATGATTCTTGATCTGTGAATTTAAAGCACCCGCTCATGAAAACTCAGTGCTCTACGTGATTCATATTGCACGCTGGACGTTATCATGACTGTCTCTGTGATTTAAAAATGTGGCAACCTCAATCTTGACGCTTTGGCTTAGCTATAGCAAATTGCTTATAGTTTGAACAAAACACGGTGGGAAATGAACATTGCTCGTTGAGAAGCTTGCTGAAACTGTTGCAGTGCTCGATTTTACTCATGTATAGCTTTGGCTTTCTTGTCAGCGGGCAGTTCAACTTCCTCGTAACCAGTGTGAAATAAAAACGTAATATTCGTTTGGAGTTTGTTTCATTAGTTTTCGTCGCGCGAATCGTGCTCTACGAGAAATTCTGCTTAAGAAGCATGTATCAGAATACTTAAATTTGGACCTTGTCTAGTGGTCCATTGAGATATATGATTGCGAACTTACGCCGTCAATTTGCTCCTTATCTTAGCATAGAGAAGGCTTATAACGAAGGTGGAATCTCAGAAAAGCGGGGATATCTTCCTCAATGCGGCCTTAACTTTGAGAATTTTTTTTCAGTTTTAGGGTTTGTTTCGGAGAAAACCAGTGAAACTATCCTATTTCACAAGAAGTTTTACAAAGGAATCAGTACTTGTATTGGCAACTCCTGATATAAGCAAGAGCTGCATTTTCATGATCACTTACAAGTCACAGCCAAAGTCAATAAAACCATACAAAAATAATAAAAATAGTCTGTCAACCATTTTAAGACCCTAAGCCTTTAAGTAAACTGTGGATTATTTGATTTAGTTCATTAACTTTGAGCTGTTTAATTTGTTGAAATTGATTTTCCTACATATAGCCAATATTTTACAAAGAAAATTTGTCTTTTTGATGTATTTACACATTTCAACTGTTTTTTAATGTTAAAAAGTATCCAGGTCAATTTGTAATGATACATTGCAACGGACGGGAACTTTCGGGCCCCCATAAGCTTAGTGCGTGCGTGCGGCATGTCGCTTAGGCAGTGCAGAGGACGCGCGCGCGTTGCGCTACGGCGCGCCCATTTTGCTCCTAGTGTCTCTCGTTGCGCGCGCCTTTCTCGGGTGTTTTCCGGCTTTTGTGTTGCAGATACGACCAAACGGACGAAATTTTCGTCTTTCAGGGCCGTACCTCGGCGTTTTCCATGGGGAAACAGTGTTATTTTGTCTAAAAATCTCAAATTTCAACCTGTGTCACTTAAGTTGTTTGAGCACCGGGTAAAAATTGTTTTAAAATTTTTTCCTTTTACGAGGCTTCTAATGTATCCACACATCAACTTTTAAGACTAGGACCTCCTTCGAATTCGAAAATTTAAAAAATAAGAAACACCCTAAAAATGGCCTTATTAACGTCAGGAAAATTGGCTCGTCCGCAGGGCATCGCCATTTTGGATTTTTCAAAATTGAGAAAACCGACTATTTGATTTTTGCAAATATCTCCTCAACGGTTCATCTCACGAAAAAAACAAAAAAAAGCAGCGGAAAGAGCGTAATAGAGCGACGCCAAAAACTACCGTTTTTTGGCACAATTTGGGCCAGTGGGGATTTTTCTGAAACCGGGCCCAAACGATACCTTACGATTCCCTAAAACTCTGGTTAAAATTTTAGCTTGAGTATACGCTGGCTTTTGAGAAATGAGGGGGCAAAGTTGCCAAATCGTCATCATTCTGGACAGCATTTCTACAGCAAAAAGACGGGAAAAATGGACGAAAAAGTTACACCTTTGATGGGTTTCGGCTGTAAATGTTCTCATAGGGCCCCCAAGCATTTAACTGTGTTCAGTTTCCAAAATTTTGGTCGCACAGTGGTCCAAAATGGGGAGAAATCGTCGACAAATCAAGATTCTTTGTCAAATTTTTAAAATTGGAAATAAAACTGTTCGTCTGCTGCAGTTTTCATGGCTAACAATATTCTTATCGGTCCTCAATGCATGAAATTGTGTTCAGCTTCACAAATTTACATCGCACAGTGGTCAAAAATGAGGGAATTAGTGGACAAATAATGATGCTATGTGAAACTTTTAAAAATGAAGTGAAACTGTTGGTCCCCTGTAGCGTTTAGATCCCGGAAAAATTCATGTATTTAATTTTTTTAATTATTACTGCATGTCGGAACGTATTGTTTATAGAACGTTGTTATAGAATAGACTTTGTAGCATTATCTCAATAAAATATGTAAACTCTCAGAAATTTTAAAAAAAAAACAGAAAGAATTTTAAAGAATTTTTCCGGGATCTAAACTCTACTGGGGACCAACAGTTTCACTTCATTTTTAGAAGTTTCACATAGGATCTTTATTTGTCCACTAATTCCCTTATTTTTGACCACTGTGCGATGTAAATTTGTGAAGCTGAACACAATTTCATGCTTTGAGGACCGATAAGAATATTGTTAGCCATGAAAACTGTAGCAGACCAACAGTTTTATTTCCAATTTTAAAAATTTGACAAAGAATCTTGATTTGTCGACGATTTCTCCCCATTCTGGACCACTGTGCGACCAAAATTTTTGAAACTGAACACAGTTAAATGCTTGGGGGCCCTATGAGAACATTTATAGCCGAAACCCATCAAAGGTGTAACTTTTTCGTCCATTTTTCCCGTCTTTTTGCTGTAGAAATGCTGCCCAGAATGATGACGATTTGGCAACTTTGCCCCCTCATTTCTCAAAAACCGTGCGTATACTCAAGCTAAAATTTTAACCAGAGTTATAGGGAATCATGAGGTATCGTTTGGGCCCGGTTTCAGAAAAATCCCTGCTGGCCCAAATTATGCCATTTTTGGCGTCGCTCTTTCCTATGGAAATCATCCTCCTTTGTTGTTTCTAACTTAATTTTTTGGTTGTGAAATTAACGTTTTCTTCAAAAATTAGCTTATGAAAGGCGCATTTTTGCTGATCTTAGGAGAAACTTTGCTTCATACCTCCAGCCACGATTATCTGAGTAAAAAACTGTTATGCTTATTGGAAAGAGCATAAAATTTACTCCTAGAAAACATATGTCAATAGTTCCTAAACTTGATTTAATACTTTGAAGCAGCAGTTTATTAGCTCCGCCCTTAAAAGGTGATTTTTTCGACCATTTTCCTTAGAATCACGAAAAAAAGAGAAAAAAAACCCTAGAAACGAGACCGGAACTGTGTAAAAAGGTGGGAAAATAGTGCTGGGTCCACACTATTTGAGGGGGGGGGGTGGGTGGAACAAAGCCAAAAAGTTCAAAAATTTTCAATCAGAGTCAAAAATTGTGAGCTCCAATGAGTATCAGTACAAAACTGAGGGGGAGAGTGTTCAGCTCAGTCAGTTTGCACTGGAATATTAAGGCGAGGCAACGTCAAGAGATCTATAATTTTGGATTTTTGGGTCTTTTCATACCTCATCAGTAGATCACACTCGTCATGTGAACCCAACTGAAAATCTCGCTAAATCCAAGATGGCATCAAAGCTCCAGTTCGAAGTACAAATTTTGTATTGCAAGACGGCAAGTTTCGTACTGGTACTTATTGGACTTCAAAATTTTTTACTCTGATTGAAAATTTTTGAACTTTTTGGCTTTTGATCTCACTGACGAGTGTAATTTACTGACGAGGTCTATAACAAGACCCATAATTATAGATCTTTCGCCGTGACCTCTGCTTAATATTCTAATGCTAACTGCCTGAGCTGAACACTCTTCCCCTTCAGTTATGTACTGCCGTACTGGTTATCCATTAGAGCTCAAAATTTTTGACTCCAATTGAAAATTTTGGAACTTTTTGGTTTTGTTTTCAAAGTAATGTGGACCCAGCACTATTTGGCCACCTTTCAACACAGTTCCGGTCACGTTTTTAAGGTTTTTTAAGGAAATTTTATGCTCTTTCCGCTGCTTTTTATTGTTTTTTTTCGTGAGATGAACCGTTGAGGAGACATTTGCAAAAATCAAATCGTGGGTTTTCTCAATTTTGAAAAATCCAAAATGGCGGTGCACTATGGTTCACAGACCCTATTTAACGGAACTTTAAGCAAATTTTGAAGGTGGAAAAAATTAAAGTTTGGCACTACAGTTTTATCTTACATACTGTCATGGATCGTCACCTAAGTTTTCATACACTAATAATGATTTATAAGATTGTGACGGACCCTAACAACAGAGCGCGCGACAGGTCTTCATTAGCTGAATGTGGACCGCATTCGGTGGTGCGTTACAAGGTGTTTATTTTATCAAGTTACGCCTCATCTATGTAAATTTTTGGGCAACATGGATCCACCTGATGGCAAGTGACTTCCTTTTCACCCAGTTTCATTAATTTTGAACTGAAATTTGTATGCTTTTGAATGCTGCAAACATACGACGAAAAATGATAGAAATCCGTGAAATTCGTATTATTTAGGAAGCTCTAAGTTTTTTTTAAGTCTAGTTAATGCTTTGCGGATTGAAAAATCTTGTTCAACATATCCTTAAGTTTAAAAAATAAAAGTATGCCGATGTATTTTGATCTACTGAGTCCAAAAATGACCTTTGTTTTTTACTTATCACCTCTCACTTTTCCGAAAAAGCGACTTTTTCCCGGGAAAATGAGCAAATTTGACGTATTTCTGTCATAATTGCAATTCATGTTGATAAATTATACTGGACCCGTGGTAAAGAGATTCTGTTATGTATATTAAGCTTCTAAATCCGAATATGACCTAGGTATTGGTCTATTACCTCTAGTTCTCCGATCATGTCGATTTTTCCGCGCCTTTTGGGTAAAACCTTACCCGGACTGTAAGTGTGTTAAAAATACGGTTTAAAATTGATTTCGATGTTTGATATATCGGCTCTCATGTACTTTGATTTGCTAAACCCGAATATGACCTTAGATTTTTCCTATCACCCCTCATTATCCCGGAAAATTCAATTTTCCTCGGAGAACGAGCTCTTTTGGTATTTTTGCGACGATTTTCCGTATTCTAAGGAAAACGGGGGGTTGTAAGAGGCAAACGGAAGTTGAACTCCGGTTGAATGTTTCTTAAGACATCAGAGAAGACCTAAAGAGGAACTCGAAAAATCGCTACAACTCCATAGAACAGGTAAATTGGCGCAAAAATACCGAAAAAACTCGTTCTCCGAAGAAAATTGAATTTTCCGGGATAATGAGGGGTGATGGGAAAAATCTAAGGTCATATTCGGGTTTAGCAAGTTCAAATACATAGGAACCGATGTATCACACATCGAAATAATTTTTAAAATGTATTTTTAACACTCTTTGAGTCTGGGATAGGTTTTACCCAAAAGGCTTGGAAAAATCGGCATTATCCGAGAACTGGAGGATGATAAAAAAAAAACCTAGGTCATATTCGGATTTAGCAGCTTAATATACATAAGAATCACTCTACCACGGGTCCAGTATAATTTATCAACATAATTTTCAATTATGACAAAAATACGTCAAATTTGCTCATTTTCCCGGGAAAAAGTCGCTTTTTCAGAAAAGTGAGAGGTGATAAGAACAAAAAAAGTCATTTTCGGACTCAGTAGATCAACATACATCGAAATAGTATTATTTTGTACCTGGAAAAAATTTTACCTACATGTTGCAGAGGTCAACAGTCGCAAAAACACCAAAAATGTCCATTTTTCCGGGTAAAATTGGCTTTTTCGGAAAATTGAAGGGTGATGGACAAAAACGGAGGTCATATTCAGATTTACCGCCTAAAAATACATGAGAATCACCTTATCTCAAGCGAGAGATTTTTTTGTTATTATTCTTATACATGTCAAAATAGGGTGGAGAAAATCTTCAGTCTTTAAAGTGGCAGAAATCACATTTGAAGTTAAATTTCTCGGTCAGGATTTTAATATTTTGTTAAACTAAGATGTAAAATGAAATTAGCGACCCAAAAAACATAAGATCCAACACCTTTTATAACGGTGCAGTGCATTTCGAATAAAGTTCCGTTAAATCCAGTCTGTGGACCATAGTGCGGTGCCCTGAGGACCAGCCAATTTTCCTGAAGTTAATAAGGCCATTTTCGGGCTTCTTTAGCACCCAGGAATCGAAAAAAATTGGTTTGGTTCGAAGGACAAACCAAAACCCGAAATTTGTTGTGCTGTGTAATGCAAGTTTCACCATTCATATGCTTTAAATTTCAAATTTTTCTTTTGACAGTCTCAACTCTTGTTTCTTCGTCTGTGCTTCCCTTACGTATTGTGTCACGAATTGAGTGTGAAAACATTGAGGCGTAGTCCAGTTTTTATTACCTTACTTCTCACCCTTAAAGACCTGCACACAAAATCAAGAGTAGTTGAGCCTATGTTGTTCCTTGATACATTACTATACAAGGAAGAAAAATGTAATGTTGATGTCCAAGCTTTGGTACCCAATTTTTTTTTTTTTTTTTTTTTTTTTTTTTTTTTTTTTTTTTTTTTTGTAACCAATTCTAAGTATAGTTTGCACCAGCATTTACGTGGACAAGTAATCGTGTCTGACAGTGTTAAACGTGGCTCAACAAAATTCAACAACATTACATTCTCCTATGGTGAAGCTCGATTTTACTGCATTCTTTAGAGAAACCCTATATTTTTTTTAAGTTCAACTCAAAATGTTATCTGCTGCAACTTTTCTCTGTATATTTAGGTACATTGAATTGACTGAAAGTCTGGATCCAAATGCTCTCCCTCCAGAGTGTACACCAAATATTGATGGACCAACTGCTGAGTCTGTTCCTCGTGAACAAAGCATGCACTCATTCCATACTTTATTCTGTAGACGATGCTATAAATATGACTGTTTCCTTCACCGTAAGTTTCAAAATGTATAGTATAATAGCTTGAAATTTATTTCCAAATGGATACTTTTGCCGGCTGACATAATGATGATTTTGAATAATTTTCAAATAACAGGATGGAAGAATAATGCTGGGCCCACCCTCAGTCCAGACAAATTAAATGTAATATCTAGGATCAGAGAAATAAATTCCCATACAAGCAATTTTTGGTTTGAGTTGCTTGTCAGGGGCCAGAGAGGCACATGCTGAACTTCATTTGAAACTTAGTCGTGAAATCATAGAAATCAATAAACTGTGTTGCTCAAAACTAATTATATATCCGAGCGAGGCCAATGGGTCAGTTAAGCTTGGTAGGGGTTCGCCTGAAAATAGTCAATTCCTTCAGCTTTCGGTACGGATAAAACGATACCCACGGTAAAATCGTCTCGGTGGAGAAATAACCCTTCCTTATTAGCAGTCCTCAAGATCATGTTTGAATTGTCTCATTCACTACCGCCATCAAAACTTCGACATTATGTGTCATAAACGGGATAATGGCGGCGGCCAATACACAACCTCCAGAACCCATGCCACTGAGCCATCGCAGTTTATTCTTCCACTACGGGCTTGGCATAGACTCCGCTGCCATATTGATCATGATGCGCAATCTCAAATATTACGAGCGCGCGGTTAAAACGCCGTTTTCGGCTGCCCTAATTTTTGGTACTTTCAAGTGAACGACGAGGGTCGCTCAGAAAGTAAAGTTCCTTATTTTATTTCTCAACAACCATTATTGCTACACAAATTGCAATTACACCGTCATAAAGGTAACACCCCCAGTTTTTAAAGGGTGTATTGGTTTTTGATGTTTGATGTTTGATTAAGTGCTTGCTTGGTAATTGCATTTTTCCGGGGTGTCCTTGAATAATTTCCTGCTACCTCTTGAACGTCTGATAATTTTGCGGAAAAACCGGGAGGTTAAAGGGAAAGGAAATATTTAAAAATTTACTTACTATAAGTGCTGTTCAGCTCTTTTCAACGTAAAATCAGTTGACATTTACACATTTTTTAGATCTTGGTGAGACGATGTTCTTTCCCCCCACTCCCATCTTTCGAGATGCGAGTGGCGTTGATGTCACCCTCTCCTCGAACCAAGCTCGCCGATCAGCTTAGCCGTCGCCATCTTCTTCTTCAGTCAGTGCTTTGCTTCGCTCTCGGCCGGTTGACGATCTTGGTTCCGCCCGATTTTTCCATCTTTTCTGTTCTTCCGCCAATTTAGTTTTTCTATCCAGATCTCGAGGATCTATTCTCTTGTTTGTAGTGTTTGTCACCCGCCGTGTTAAGTGAATAAATCTCTTTTCATTCTCCGCAAGCGTGCCCTTTCATTTTCGCTACTTCACCTCACCAGAGCCTATTGGCTGCCGTCTGCGGGTTTTTCCTTTTTGAGGCCTTCAGCCGTTTGTCAGCTTCTCTCGATTCATTGGTATCAGTTTGTTGATGCCCTCTCGGAAGAACTCTTCTGTCTGCTGTCAGCACTTTAGTTCTTTAAACCGCCCATGAACTTTCCTGTGGACTTGTCCATCCGCTGTATAGCCCTGATTTACCTCCAAGCAAAAGTCACCTCTTCGAAGGTTTTAAGAAGTTCATGAGTTTTAAAGTTTGAAACTGACGAGGGATTGAAGTGCTGTCAGCAGACAGAAGAGTTCTTCTGTGAGGGCATCAACAAATTTATACAAATATTTAAAAAATGGGTGAATGGAAATGGAAATTACGTAGAAATGAGCTGAACAGTATTTATTGTAAGTAAATTTCCAATATTTTCTTCTTGTTTTACCTCCCGGTTTTTCTGCACAATTATGAGAAGTTTAAGAGGTGGCGGGAAATTTCTCGAGGAGACTGTGGAAAAATCATCCAGTAAGCTGATGAACACTTTAGAGTTGAGCCGTTCACTTTCTTCATCATAGTCACTATAATTTTGGCATAAAACGAACAACTTCGGTTTTAACTCGTAGGTATCTTGAAGGAGACACTCTGCTATCATATGGACAGAATTGAAAAGCGAACCTTGGTTTAAGACAGGTATAAACGGTTGATTTTGGGGCAGAGGAGGAATAGAATTTAAGTGGAAAGCAGAATCGCCATTTTGATCATCTACCAGTAAATACTAAGAAAAAGGGCTGTATTGGAATGTTGGAATTTATTTAATGTGATGCTGGTGGCTTACCTGGATTAGAACTCAGTAGGACGTTCCAGCATTCAAGCAGAACACAGAATGTACTAGAATTAATAACATCAGACATAGGCGATTGGTCATGATCGGGCACTCCAAATGAATGGGCCACTCGCAATTCAGGGGCCTTATAAAGTGCCATTAAGCACTAGCCACACTGAGACGTCGCCGTCCGTTCCGTCGCGGCTCCGTCGACGGGCGTCCGTCAGTTGTACGGCTCTTGGACGAAACGGAGCGCACCTTGCTCCGATGCGATCCGGCTAGCTCTAGGATGCAGTTGAGCTTGATGACTCAAAGCTGTTCGCATGTCAGTTTCATACTCAACTTTTCTCTAGTGTTTTTCATCGTTAAAAATGGAAACCTTGTCTGATGAGGAGGCAATAGTTTTGGCGTGTATAGGTACTTGAAGAGGAAGAACTGAAACAAAGAAGGAAGAGGAGATTTTGGGTCCATGAAATCATTATGAAGCGGGAGCATTGTGGAGAGTACTGTACTCTCTTCCCTGATTTGCTCGGTGATGAACAGAAATTCTTTAAATACTTTCGAAAGAGCTCCGCCAAATTTTTCCATCTGCTTGATCTTTTCGATGGTGAAACTGCAGAAATGCGTATATCGGTTTGCGGCGTTGCAGACTTCCTGTCATACTTTATTTTTTGTATGAAAAACCACATCATTCATTGAGCACTTCGGATATTTTTCTTCTCTATGTGAAGAATATTCTGTGAAAATTTCAAGCCACGATGTTGGTTCGGTTTCCTTTTAAAAAATAAAATAGGAGCGGAGATTTTCAAACACCGCAACCGATATAAGCATTTTTGCGGTTTCACCATCGTTTTACCTTTAAGAGCGTGCGCACTGCATAAGCAATCAAAACAAAACTGGAGATTGGCATCCGTCAGTCCGTCTTCCGTCTCCAATCTTGCTCAAAAAGCAAGATTGCTATATCCGTCAGCGTACGGCTCGGCAGCCAGACGGCGCCGCATCGATCCGGAACGCGTTAGTGCGCGCCCGCTCACTCATTTCCACGATAAGCAAAGCCAAACGGCAGGAGACGGATTGAACCGATCCGCGACGGAACGTGCGGCGACGTCTCAGTGTGGCTAGTGCTTTAAAAACGTTTTGACCTAATGGTTGTTCAACATTTTGATTTACAAAATTTGAGGAATGGACAAACTGAGTAGCGACATCACCGCCAGGAATGACAGCCTGAGCAATCTCTGCTTTGACCAAGCAGGGCAAATCAGTTTTAATGGAAATCAGTTTTCACTAGAATGTAACTTTGATCGGTTTAACATGATAAGAATCATTCTAATCAGGTAAGAGGGCTGAGTGCATTTAAGATGCAGAATAAATGGCCACCTCGTCCAGTAGTAGAAATTACAGGTATAGAATTTGGTGGCATAGAAATATGTAGCAATCACCTATAAAATGAGAGGCTCGGAGGACAAAGCATGTAAGTAAAGTTTATTCCATTTCCAGAAATACGTGTTTGAAGTTTTGAAATTACGTGGAATCTAACAGGGGAAAGAAAGTTCAAAATGACTTTCTGATGCTTAAAAATTGGAATTTGGGGGCAAATTTTTCGCAAAGTTCGGATTAAGACTAGTTATACTTTAAATCATTAATATCACAACTTTTCAAAAACTGCACTTATGCGCCTTGTCCTTAAAGCCTCTTAAATGAAAGTTACTGTTTTTGACGGACAATCAGCACTTGCATGGCTGATCCCAGAATCATTAAAACTTGAACACAGGTGTGATTGATGACGTTCTCTCCAACAAGGAGGTTGGCAGGATGACCCACCTCCAAAGGCAGGCTCTTGTCACGACCTTCTATCATGAGTATTTACTATTGGCATTTTTCATGTTGTGACACGCACCCCATCCCTGATCATGCTAATTGCAAAGCCCTTTACCATGCCCTATAATAATTTTTCAATTGTAATAAAATGTCTCAAGATTTGATCGCTCACTTGGGAGAATCAAACACTAAATATGTCAAGGACTTCAAAAAATTAACAACTGTACACGGTGGCTAGCAACCAGGAAAAGTCAGGGAATGGGAAAAATCAGGGAAAAGTCTGGGAATTTCGTCAACGGTCAGGAAAGGACCCCGCACACCTCTTATGGGAAGCTGCACCATGAAGGATTGCCTTCTGACTTATGTCATTCGATTCTCCTCAAGATACTGATCAAAAGTTATAATTGCGCCAGCTTTCTACGATGCACTGTTTTCGCAAAAAACCTATGAGAAGATTCAATTATTCGGCAACTATGAATTAAAAAGAACAAAGCATTTGAGAACAGGCCCGATGTGAATAAGGAAAAAACGTAGCGCGTGTCCGTCTTCTTATCTGTACCTGCCGACTCAGGGGCTATGCACTCCCGCACTCGCCTGGTAGACATTCAGACTTTCCTGTTCTTATGCTCCTCAAGAATCTGATTTGGATGGTCGGTCGAGCAAAACGGCCGGCCGGCGCACACTGTGGTATTGGACCTGAAAAGCTGGCCAAAACTATTTATCATCAGATATCGCCGAGTTTTACAAATATTTTACAATCAGTACTTCTTCTTAAGTGATAATATGCACTATTTAACCACCCAACACATCATATGACAATTTGCGGAGAGTTTAAAGAGGGTGCAAGAAGCCTTCCGAAAAGCCTTTAAAAGGACGCAAAGTATCTGTCTAAAGCGGTGCATTTAGACGAGTTTCTCCTTCACCTATGGTCTACTTTTCGAAATAGGGACTTTCTTTTACCTCATAATTAATGGTTTTTTTTTTAAAAAACAGTGTAAGTCACTTCAAAATTTTTGACGAAACAGCCGATCTCTCACATTGAGGAGTAATTGAACATTTCCCAAAAAAATTAATATGAATCATTCTAGGTATTAGATTTTTGACAGTTTTGAATCAGAATTAGTACTAGTATGAAAGTGCCGGGACCTCCATATGATGATTTGAGGTTAAATTATAAGATGAAAATGAGTTTTATCATAATAAGAACCATCGTAAGGGCAGAAAGCACCTGTGAAAATGATTCATTTTGATGGGTTCCTTCCTCACCCATGGTCCACATCTCAAAGTGAGGGCACTTCACTGCGAAATTCGTAACAAAACCACATATCTCACTGTTACGAGGCTTCAAATGTGCCTCTCAGCGTAATTTCATGGTGCCAGAGGGCCACTTTTAAAGCCCCACCCCGCGGCCGCATGGACTCAAATTTGTCTGTAAAAGTAAAACATGGCATAAATATGTCTATACTCAAGGATAATGCACGCAGAGATTGTTAGATAACGGTTTAAACACTTTTGCAAGACTTTAAAGTGACCCTCCCATCCGCTTTCAAATTATTTTTTTTATCCCTCTTTCGAGGGCGTAGGGGCCAGAGAAACAGGTTGCGTGACCAAATATCACCTATTTTGGTACTAAATGGGTCAGAGCTGTTGGAAAAATCCAATTTCAGTCGTTAGTATCGACATAATTTTTCCCATTCATGTTTGTAAAAATCGCTCAAAAGTCCATCTTTAAGGTCAAAAATTTCAATTTCCTCAGTTTTCCTCAGTCTGTCACCCCTGAATCCTGAAAATACCCTCTTTTGACTATAACATTCCGCCTTAAACCGCTTGAGCGCAGTTGAGCGCAAAAAGAAATCGGACTCTGAATTTCGAAAAAAACGTTTACTTTTACATCACTTTTCAACCTCCTGTGAAAATCACTAAAAAAGGAAATTTCGAAAATACTGTGGTTAGTTGTGTAGAATATACTCCTAAGAATGTGTTGCATATCGCCGAAGTTCCGTTTTATGGCCACACAGTTGAAGTAAACTGATCGACGAGTAGCGCGCCAAAACATATCAAAATAATCGCTGAGAATTAGGTAACTTCGTGGTCTCTTCGCGGGAAATTGAGCCACTCGAAAAATGGTACATACATGTCTACCAGGGTAAAAAACAGTGTAGATTTCGAATATCACATTGGTCTTCCAATAAAAAAAATTTAAATTTGAGGTTTTGGCCAGGTTTTTTGGTCAAATACCACAGTGTGCGGCGTGCGGAATCCGAGATAAGACTGCCGCTCGGTGAGGGAGTCCCCTTGATTTCCTTGTTGACACACAGCCGCTTGTCAATCGAGCACTGAAATGAGGAATCTTTCTGGCTTTTAATCACCGAAAAATTGAATCTTCTCATAGGTTTTTTGCGAAAACGGTGCATCGTAGAAAGTTGGCGCAATTATAACTTTTGATCAGTATCTTGAGGAGAATCGAATGACATAAGTCAGAGGGCAATCCTTCATGGTGCAGCTTCCCATAAGAGGTGTGCGGGGCCCTTTTTTGTGGAGCCGGCTTCCAAGTAAAAGTCGGGTCCACGACGGGCCAGCTGATCGTGCTGTTGTGCTAACCGGGTGGTGCTTTCAAGCGGTCTCCGATGACCATAGGTTTGCGCCGTTTTTGCGGAAGTGAGGTTAAGTGTATATTTACGTACACTTCCGTGGAGAAACACGCCTCCTCTTACTTTTGTCTGAAGCTGGGCTGTGCTGGAACCACGCATTGATTAGGAAAATCTTTCCAAAGGTTGGATCTCCAAGTCTCTACCAGGGACATCAGCATTCATCTGCTTCCTTAGTTGGAACAATAGCAAAGGGAATAAGGGATGCAATTTTTGGGCACAAGCGATTTATTTTAAAGAACAAGAGAGGCAGGATAGACAGGTTATACAAGACAAAACTACATCCGCTGATGATCATTAAGTTTTGCTTTGCATTGTTGCAATTTCTCCTATACCAGCCATTTATGTCCTCTCAATTGCTGTCTTTTTTCATCTTGTTCATCTTGTATTTTTGCATTCACTGTTTGAGATCAGCAAACTTAGGAAAACGTAACTCATCTAATTTTCTGTTGCTAATATTACTGGAACGCTCTGCGATCCAATAAGAAGTTGAACTTTTCCATTTTCTTTATTGCCAAGCGCCCACTGTTTTTTCAATCGCTTTTTGCGATTGCGAGAATGCTTGAAATGTTTACTCTCAGTAATTTTCAAATGTCGTGAGAATACACTGAGTTCATAACCAAGAGGAACAAGTGATGAAAGGAGCACAAGCGATTTTTTTAGATAACGAGAGAGGCAGGATTGACAGGCTATTCAAGACAAAACTACATCAGCTGATGAATATTACTTTTTGCTTTGCATTGTTGCAATTTCTCCAACAAGTACAACTCCACACTTTCCACAGAGAAAAGGTCCCAACCTTGGGGTGACTCCTCCCAAAAGAGTGTGGTTCCAGGGCAGCCAAATTTTTTTTGCTCGCGGAAACACTATCTAAAAATAAAATGCAGTGAATTATCTTTTCTTGAATATTTTTGTAAGTATAAAATAAAAATAATTGAAAAGGAAATATTGCAGAAACCAAGGAAGTATTATCGTTAGAATTTTATCAAGAAATTTTTGGAAATCTGTCAAGTCGGAAGAAGAAAAAAATTATGAGGTATCCGTTACATAGAATAAATGTTATTTTCATCATTTCATTGAATTGAAGATGGAGCACGGATGATCATTGACTTCAGAGATCACTGTCATGATTTTCATTTTAAAATTGATCCTGAGACCTCAAATTTAATAAAACTCAGTTAAACTTATCATACTGGAAAGAATCTCTGCAGGTTGTAGCTTAACAATGCTTCACAGGTACTTTTTGACCACGTCAATTAAGTGCCCTCACGTTATCGTAAAAAAGTCAGGGAATTTTATTAGGAGTTGGGGAAAAGTCAGGGAGTGATGAAATGAAATTTTGCTTGCCCCCGATTTTAAGTTTAGGGTGATTAACGGAGATATGTAATTAAGTATTCAAAAATTAAAATGAAATAATGACATTGTTTTCGCCATTAGATCAAGGACAACACAGTGATAATCATACTGATCCCGGAACAGAAATACTCTCTACCATGATTTTTCATTTGTATTAATGTTTCCACTCATTTTATCTTCCCTAGGCCTGAAATCTCATCATTCTGGCCCTAATCTTGGAAAAAGGAAAGGCCCAGATTTAAAACCATTTGCTGATCCTTGTGGTCCTGATTGTTACATTCTCTTGGTAAGTTATTTTTCTATTTAAGGACTTGTTGCATTATTGCTGCTTATCACTTCAAGCTGGAATCATGGCAACATGTATTGTGAATGAGTCCAGCAGCCCGACTGTTGAAATTTATGTCGGCTTGACAAGAATCGAAAATCGATATATTAAATGATGCAGGTAAGGCTATGTCTTGTCTTATCTTGCCAACATAGCCAGTTAAAGTTTCAACAATCAGGCTGCAGGGTTTAGCAACACCATAATTGATATGTATTTTGATTGGGTTTAGCCAATGTGTTGTGCAATAATAACCAAATGTTATTCAGTAGAATACATTTTATTAATTTACCCTATATATTTTGACATTTCGCCATCATCAGAGGATTTGTACAGCACTAAGAAATACAAAGTATAAGAAAATATCACATAGTTATACCAAGTATAACAAAATACCACAAATATCACTTCTGTCACATCACAGTCGTTCATCATAATTACAGTGTACAAGTCTTAATGTTCATAAATATAGGATTTTCTAGTTGGCCTGGCTATCCAGCGCACCTTGCGGTAAATAAAGGAAATATGTGTATCTTGGGTTTTTCTTCTTAGAGTCCAGCACTTGTTCATATTGCCATTTCACGCGGAATCAATCTTGGTTTGATTGAATATTTAACAGTGACTGCTTGTTATTTACTGCCTTTGCTATTTCTACTTTCTCAAGTACTTGAAAGCATGTTCTTATCCCTGCACTAATGTATTACTTTGATTGATTCCTTGTCAATTTTATGGCCCTCTCTGTTAATATGCATTTATACATTTGACGACTCTCGTTGAATCACTCCTGTAGAGATCATTCTGTTTTCTCTTTGTTTATTCTTTCACAAGAGTGGCAATTTATTTGATGTGTGCCTGAAATTGATTTCTCTTTGTCATTATTGTTAGAATTTTTTTTTTTTTTTTTTTTTTTTTTTTTTTTTTTTTTTTTTGATTCTGCGCACTAGCATTATCGACAAGTGCTGCTTTGGAAGCAAAAAAATTCCAGGTACATAAATATCCTTTCTTTAATGCAAAGTGCGCCAGGTAGGCGTGCCAACTAAAAATCCTAATTTTACTAAAATGAAGACTCGTACTCTCTGACTGAGATGAACGACTGTGACAAGAAACAGAGGTGGTGCTTGTGATATTTTGTTATACTTAGTATTTCTTTGTGATGTAAAAATCCTCTGATGATTGCGAAATGCCAAAATGCCTAAGGTAAGTTAATAAAGTGTATTCTACTAAATAACGTTTAGTTATTATTTCACAACACCTTGGCTCTACCCAATCAAAATATGTAATATTTCACATGCTTTTTTCTTGTTTTTCTTCTTATCTTTTTTTCTTTTTTTCTTCATAACCTGACAAATATTGTGTCAAAGTGAATAACCACAGCACCTCATTTTTTTACCTGTCAAGTTTCACATGCATGAGTAAGTTATGTGCCAAAGATTTGCTGTGTAATGTTTTGAATTAACAGTTTTTGTATTTCAAGGTTCAGTTCTGCTTCAAACCTCAAACTAGAAAAAACTGAAAACTTGTGAAGTGTTTGCTATTTCAACACCTCTCATTAATGGAGCAAAATAGTTTTAAGTAGCAGAAGTTTTGCTATCCTTACTTTGTTGTTAATTAAATAAGGCGTGTTCCAATTTGTGACCTTCCAATTTTTGGAGTTCATAAATGAATCCCTTGATAGGGAAGGAGACTAACATCCAAAAAAACAAGTTGGTGCTCATGGACTCAGTTGGTAAAACCACTGCACCCATTCTCGCACTCCAGGCATCAGTGCGTCGGTCCATTGTGTTTCAGCAACTTATTGCTATTTCAGATTTTACCAATGCGGCAAGGAGCTTGGTTAGCCTCTACCAAAGGCATTACATCTCGTGTTATTGTCAATCTTCCTCTGCTTTACCATCCTACCTGCTTTAGTCCCCTAGCTCCCTCTCTATTTTACTGGCCAAAAATTTCTCAATTAAGGCAAGAAAGAGCAATGCAAAACGATTTTTGTACCATAGGAAAGAAAGCGTAGAAAATAGTACTCTTCTTCATTCTCGAATATTTTGGTTTTTACCCAATTGAATTGCCCAATTTTCTGGCTTTGAGCTTCGAACTATATGTTACCCTCTTGAAGTTTTATCCAAGTAAAGTGAGAGCCACTGATCCCCACTGGTGTTGGAAGCTTCTCTCTGAGGGCTCTTTTACTTAAAGACTATTTAATGGTTCTACATCAATATTTTTTCCCCCAGAATTTTCCTTTTTCTTACCCATCTCTATTATTTTATTTTAGGAAGGGATGAAAGAAAAGTTAGCAGCAATCGCTGAAAAGTGTGCTGAAGAAAAACGTAAGGAGGAGGAGGAGGAAGAAGATGAGGAGATGTCAATAAATGATGAGATCAAACAAGAACCTCAGCCGTCACCTTTAAACCAATCAGGTGGAGGTATTCCTGGAGGCGGAGGAAATACTATAGTCAAAAAGGAAATCAGAAATGAAGCAAAGCAGCAGAAGATTTGTAAACAGATATCAGTAGATTCAGGCAATGAAGCGAGTTCAGAGGATAGCAACGATAGTAAAGGTGAGGTTCAGTTCCAAAACCACATACTTACACCAGATGTAATGCTAGAAAGTCTCTACACATGCTTTATTTTTTAGAAGGAAAACCAAGCAACATTATGGCTTGAAATTTAAGCTGAAGTGATTTTTCTTTACCATTCCACGGTCATACTGTAAAGATTACAAGCAGTCAGATGAAATCAAAAGGCTAAAAGGACCCTACAACAAAACGGCCAAATCTGCCTAAACACGGAATTGTACGATTTACTCAGGGATGAAGAGGGTCTTCCTGGACACTTAAAACTGGTCATACTTTTTGCCTAGGGAAAAGGGGGATGGGGGGGTCAAAGTCAAAAACTTTAAAGTAGCATAACTTCTCAACGGTTTGTCGTAGAAAGATGATCTTGGTGTCACAATTTCCAAAAAAATGAGAGCTTTCAGAATATATGTATGATATTAATAAAATTTTAAATTTTGACCCACTTTTGGGGGAATTATACAAGGTCCCCCTTTCGTAAGTTTTCGTTTTTCAATATTTTCGGTCATTCGGTTCGCACGGAGCAAAACAAAAACAATCTTAAATGAAAGTAGAGGGCTTAAGGTTTAAAACAACCCTAAGTTCATCTTGAGAAAACAATTAGAAGCGGACTTATTAGTCTTCAAAGTTGACGCGGCGCGGGGGAACCTCGTATGTTCCGAGTCTCAAGGTCACCTGCGCCCCCCAGATTGCCTGTAGGTCGCAAGTTTGTGTGTTTTTATGCTTCTCTTGGTCGTTTTTAATGTAAATCATTTAATGAAGATAGAATAATCGGAATTTTTGAATTTTTCACAATGGGCCTTTGGTGAGGTACACCACATTAATGTTAAATATTTTTAATTCAAATTGTCCCCTCAAGAATAACTGAGGCTTGTTTTGAAGCTCAAAGCTCGTCTGCTTCTACGAGAAACTATTTGGCCTTACCAAGTGAGTTCCGTCATGCGCTGTAGCTTACAGCTGAATAATAAAATTTTAAAATTAGGGGTACCCCAAAATTTGGCATCAATGGGTCATAATTTCTAAATGGTTCCGTTCTGTATGGATCATATGTATATTTGAACTAAGGGTCCATGGTTTCTTCTAAATTATAAGAACAGAATCGTCATTGTCAGCAAATGTTTAATGAGGTATGATGGACATAATGGTTGATACTTTTAAGCCCCCTCTTGCTCCTCCCATAAAATTCAAAAATTTCGAATATTCTATCTTCACTGAATGATTTACATTAAAAACGACCTACAGAAGCATAAAAATTTAAAAATTTGCGACCTGCGGGCAATCCGGGGGGCGCAGGTGACCTTGAGACTCGGAACATACGAGGTTCCCGCGCGCCGCGTCAACTTTGAAGACTAATAACTCCGCTTCTAATCGTTTCCTAAGGATGAACTTAGGCTTATTTTAAACCCTAAGCCCTCTACTTTCATTTAAGATTGTTTTTGTTTTGCTCTGAGCGAACCGAATGACTGTTAGAGAGTTTTATCTTATGAGAGTCCAATTTATCTCAGAAAAAATTTGAAGAAAATTTTCAATAATGTTGCTCTAGGACTTTTCTCAAATTTTCCCATAAAGTCTGCTGGACTCACCTGTCATGAAATTCTCTCTTAGGGTGAATGATCAAATGAAATTGAAGAAGCGACACGCTCTGTTCCAAATTTCCGAGACAGTCTAATTTTCGTGAGTCTATGAAAACGTTAACCTCGCTTATACCTGCCATTCTACAAATTTTTCCTGGAATTTTATTGAACTCGCTTGTCAATAAATTCTTTGTCGAAATAGATAAACAATTCCAATTGATGTATCCCCGTTTTTACCCTCAACTCCCAGACGTGCCAGTTTTCATTACTATGGAAAAACGGCAACATTGCTCAAAGTTTCCCTCAAGGATTTTCCTCAAATTTTCCTTGGGGTTTTTTGATCCTCTTGAAATGGCTGTCTCTCTCTAAAGAGATGAACAATTGAAAGTGATGTGAGCGAAGTATTTTACATCATTTTCGCGGTACCTGAGATTTCTATAATCTGAGTAAACACCAAAGTTGCTCCGAAATTCTAGCAAAGATTTTACCTAGATCCTCCCTGAAAATCAATTGGACTCTGCTGGGGTGAAATCGTCTATTATAAGAGATGAAGAAATGAAATTGCGGAAATAAATTATACGAGTCCAATTTTTTGTGGTGTGTGAATTTTCATCACTCTTGGAAAACGGATAAGATTTGATAAAATTACAGGAGATTAAAACCCGGGGGACAAAACCCAAAACATGGGAGCTCTATTGAGTTTATTTTGACCAGTTATGTACTCGAATCACACCTGTAGAAACTTCGTACCCCCCAAGGAGATGTGACAGAGCTCTAGCAGGTCCCTTGAGTGGAAAGCAATCGTACCAGTTAGTCGTGCCCAGTATTTCACGTCTTCTTATTTCCAGCGCCTCACTCTAAAAATGTATACGACTTGTTGTTTCATCCTCAACCTCACAAGGCCTGCTAACAGGTTCAGTCTACCAGGCTCCCATATTCCACAGGTGCTGCCTAAGGTGACCGTGCCTTGTCAGTGAACCAATCAGCTTTCTCAGTCTGCATCTATCCAGTCTCAACAGATTACTTGCAAACTTCCTTGAGTATTCGGGAGGCATGAGTTCTGAGGTTATCATCCCCTCTGCTCTTGCCCAGTCCTCCTGCCAGTTCGAGATTGAAAACGCCTGCATTAAAGTCAGATCTCATTAATAATTCACTATTATTGCAGCTTTTGAAAAAGGTCTTGAAATTTAGTGTTCAGTATGCCTCCTCCGCTTCCAGTCTGTTGTCCCCTAATCGTTTATTCTTCTATCACCCATGGAAAGGGGAATGCCCCATAGCTGCTCCCAGGGTGGCAATAGGTGTTGACTTCGGAAAAATTAGGATTACTTGGGTTTCCACTTCCTCCCTCCTCCAGCCTGTGAAAACCTGCCTGTGAGCGTTACACTTTTTTGCTATCTGGTGGCCATTTAAGAAATATAGTTCGTTAAATTCCCTTACTAAAATTTTACACTGATGTATTGAAATGGCAATAACAGTGCATGTACGAATATGCCTGATCCTATGGTCTTGCTGAATGCTTTTACGCTCCATAGCATCTTGGTGTCCACTGTTTATTGGAAGGCCAGGAGCTGAACTTTGTTGAGCAAACAGGTGTCCTTAAATCTTCAGAGGTTGAATATATCTGCCCTAGGAATCCTGATGTACGGTCGATGCAGTTTCCGCTCACCTGCGGTTTTTGCATTTCAGAACATGAATGCCAACAAAATTCGCCTTGAAGGCTTCTCAATTTAACAACTTTCAATAATACTAATAAATTCAACAAGTGCATAGAAGAAAATGATTGCAATTTACAAAATACACAACCAAAAACTCATAACAAAATGGCACTACAACATAACATATCAGAAAATAAGCTAATTACCGCCAAAAATGAAAAAGAGTAACTTGAACTTGAGTCAACAGGACTCAAACTTAGCAACACGCTATTCTTGACCCAACTTCAAGGGACTATGCTGTCGTCACTCTCTTTTTCTTCATGATCAAAAACAGCTAAATGTGCCGGTATCATCAACCATGGAGCAACGACTCATGCTATGCCTACTAAGTTTCTGAAGCTTTCAAAATATCAGAAAAATCTTCCTCATCAGCATCATAACATGGCACGCGCACCGTAATGGTATTTTTTCCGGGGTTTTGGACGTGTTAAGAGCAATTTTTCACTGCTAGAGGCTAATGACGAGCAGTGGTGACTGGAATGATGTAAATTCAAACATTGTAGAACAATGTGGCAAGTATTGCAAATGTATTAATTTTTTTATTTAATTATGATTGAAACAATTACTTCCCCAATTATTACAGTTAGAATTACAGGGTAAAATGAAATCCAGCCGGTATCATGACGGTTTGGAATCTGACAGAACTGCTAGATCACAATGCATCCTCAAACCCTCTGTTGATATTGATATGAACTAAAATTCTGGCAACTTATTAGTATGCATCAGTTTAACATACTTGGTAGTATGCTAAAGTGTGTAAGTGTGTTTCCCATTGCAATGTTCCTTGCTTGAAAAATGGTTCATCTCACATCCAGATATTACAAACATGTGATCATCAGATGTGACAGGGAAGACTCATTGCAGCGATTGATTCATATTTTTCAAGTGTTATTTATCCTCCATTCATTTTTTTTTGTTTTGGTACACTGTTATTCTTTTCTAATTTTTTACCAATTTTTTTGCTCTTTGATCCCTATCAACAGAATATAAAAATGACGAACTTACTGGAAACGCTGTTGAAACAACAACTTCATTTTCTCTGCTGGGATTGATGGGAGCTGATGATAAAAAAGAGTGGACCGGGTCAGATCAGTCTCTGTTCCGCTGTCTTCAGAGAGTGTTTCTCAATAACTATTGTGCTGTTGCTCAAATCATGATGACAAAAACTTGTCAACAGGTGTGGTCAATCGTTCATAATTTTGGTTTGTCCCATGTAATCTATCAATAGACATTTTTATCACTATACAAAGTTAGAAACCTATCAGTGCAACACATTTTTTCTCATCAAACTTTCTTGTAAAGTAGTGTGGAACATTCAGGTTGTGAGAAAATTCCCCCCCCCCCTCTCTCAACTTTTTACCCATTCGAGGTAAGATTTGAAACTTGGAGGACGTTGCTATGACAAAAAGAGCTTTCTTTTTAGCCCTGTTAGACCTTTCCATGAGAAGAGACCCGATAGGGGACAAGAGACTCCCAAGTTTTCGTTTTTAGATGGAAAGACCCACCCCCTCATCTTGTGATACCACATTTCAGAGAACATTAAAGAAGAACAATTTTAGTGGGAAGTCCTTATCTTGAACTGTTTCAAAATGGCGGCTAGCTAAAGTTTAGAATGGCCAAAAATTAGCAACCTCTGTTTTTGAGGACAGACCGGCAGTGAATAAGGAGAAATGCAGCGCAGGCTGCTTGATAATGATGAGAGTGAGCGAGAGAAAAAAACTGATTTGGACGGCGAAAAGAAAAAGCATGCGGAATTCGAGATGAGACTGCTACTTGGCAGAGGCTGCTGATCCGATGTGCCGGAACGCCCCAGGGTTTCCCGTTTTCCTCTTTTACAGCCGACCTGTTCTCGAGTGCTGATATGAAGGATTTCTTTAACTCTTTAGCTTGGTACCAACTTAATTTATTAAAGGAATTATTGAGACTTCAATTGTGGATTATGTAAAAATGGTGGCTCATAGAAAGTTGGCGCAATGGTGACTTTTGATCAGTATACGATATGTTTACTGCGATAAAAAAGTGAGAGATTGATTGTGTCACACATCCCCTTAAGAAGTTTGTTGGGTCCTCTTTTTTTCCTCTTTTTTTTTGCAAGAACTTTTACAGATCTGCAGTTAGGAGGGTTTTTGTTGCTCACTTGCCAAAACATAGGTCTTTAGGATATTTTAGGAAATAATGCTTATTTTTAGTAAGCAACGGGATAATATGGCCCCAGCTTGACTTACTGCTTGAAATCACAGAAATTGAATCACTGGTCTGATATATTGATTTTTTTAAAGTGGTTTTTTCGTTTCAATTTTCATTCATTTATACTTCGAGCAGTGGTGCCAAATACTCAGTTTGACAATTAAGTGCTGGTTTTTAGTCGTGCGGCGAAGCCGTATAGACTCTAGGTTTCGCCGGAGGCTAAAAAATGTTCACACTTTTAGGCTAAGTCCAAGAGGAGAATTTTCGAGGAACCAAGTAACATATGAAGTATTGATATCGGTGCATTTTGGCCCAATGGAGATGTTACATGTGCGAGGAATTTGCAATTTGACTGTTGATTCTTGTATAAAAGTTTGCGAGGAACACGATGGTGCCACTGGTTTTCTCTGAAATCATCTCCCAAGCTCAAAAAAAGCTCTCAAGTTGAGGCCAAAATGGAGGGGATATCCCACCCTACCCTGAGAGTCCACGTCTACATGAAGACAAACTCTCCATGCAAAGATAGGGAGCAAATACATTAGCAGGGTTGCTGTGTTTTCAGTTTTGGAGTCCCCAGATAAATTGGTAGCCCTGTCAATGTATTAGCTCCCTATCTTTGCATGGAGAGTTGGTCTTGATCTAGACTTGGACTCTCAGGGTAGGGTGGGATATTCCCTCCATTTTGGCCTCAACTT